CTTATCCTACAGTCCCTGACACCAATCTCAGCCTCGGTCTCATGCTCTACTTTTAGGGCATCGTGGGCAGGGGATCTGGTATGTGGGACAGTTGAGTACATACTGGCCATTGCCAGTAACAACCCCTTCTCCCCACAGAGGTTTTCATTGGGAGCAGGAGCCTTCTGGGTTGGGACAGCGCCTTTTATACAAATTGCTGTGTTATCACCTTGCACAGAAATTATGTAAGAGTGCTGTGTCTTTACTGACCCTTCCCTAGCTAATGACCCGTTAGGCTGTAATTGGTCACTCACTAAGCTTCTTGACCTCCATCTGGGAGTCATAAACCTACATAAGGTTATTGAGCTGATGGCAATACTAACTTAAGCCCTAGAATTTCTTTATGGTTCAATTTAACATCCAGCAAAATAAAATATCTACAGGTCCAGGTTCATTTTTATTTATTTTGTAGCATTTCCTTAACCATCCAGTATACTTGTACATGTGCTGTCTGCAGTGCCTTACTCTGAGGAACTGAAAGACACACATCCCTGCTGACAGAATCTCATAATAGTGCTAGCTTCCAGTTCTGAGGACATTTTGCTAAGAGTATGAATGTCTGTAATTTTTCCTTTAGTTTGATCAAAAATAAGGTAGGGGTTATGATGAAATGAGGCTCAGAAAAGAAAATGTATTTTCCTAAGGTCATAGAGCTGGCAAGTGTTGGTGCCAGATATAAATCAGATCTGTCACTCTCCTTATTCTTGCTCCTGTCCACTAAACCCTATTTGCATCAGTCTTATTTTCCAACTTCATGACCTTAATACAGCCAGATATAAGGGCCACATGCTGTATCTCCACTTTCATTAAAAAAAATTACAGTTTTTGGCAGAAGACCTTACCTCTGATTTGAATGAGCCCCAGAATCTAATTTTTAGCTCAAAGAGATCCTCTATTAATGATGTCCTGATCATTAAAACCATACTAGATGGAGAAGAATTTTGTGCTCTCAAAAGCTCATTTATCTGTGCTGAGAAAGGAATCAAAATTCTAAGAATTTAGACCTACTTTGACAATAATGTGTGCTATGTAACAGGGAATTTGACCTTGGTTCTACCATTTACTGTTATTTTGTCATGCTGTTAGACCTCTCTGTGGCTTAGTTTTGCATCTGTAAGAACACGATAATGATGCCTTTTTTGGAAACCATGTGTAATTTCCTAAGTACAATGGCTTTTCAGATGCCCCCCTCCTCCAAAACACACAAAGGACTCTCCCCAGCTTTGTTTAGGGGTGTAGGTTGGAGAGATGCCTGGCTCAAACTAGGCCAATAAAATTCTTTCTCTCTCAACATTCTGCTCATTGTTTTTTTCCTACCCTACTGTCGGAGAATGGGGCAGGTGGTTAGCAAAGGGTGAAAGATGAAGAAGATGTGAAAGAGAAGCAGAGATGACCTCTTGTGTCATTGTACTAAATTCTTCCTTTTGGCTGCTGGAGCTCTGACAAACCACCTAGTGCCTTGTTAGGGGTACTAATCATACAAGTGTCTGTAAGGAGCTAGAATGATGTGGTTGCTCAGTAAATAGCATTTGTGAATTTTATTCCCTTACCTCACATCCGGGGTGGACTTCTCTTCAGGCATGGGTCTTGTTTGATCTTCTTAGTTTACACAAGAAAGCAAGTTTCTGGAGGCACTACGGACCAGCAGCACTTAAACGGCTATTTCATTATCAGCACAAGGTGCACCGCAAGTTAAAACCGTAAGGATAATCATGTACCACCAACTGGCAAAACCTCTGAGGGTTGTTGATTCTTTCTTGGGCAGGTGGAAAGCCCAGTAATTTATGTAAATGCAAGTGGGATTACGTTTAGCAATCCTGGGGGAACAAGATAACACTTGGTTTCCACTTGAATCTTCTGTGTATGAACATAACATTGTCTTTGTCTCTCGTACCAACATGGTTTCTGGAGAATACTTATGTGTTTACTTTATCTCCCTCCTCTAGAGTAGAAGCTCCTTAAGAGAAAGTAATGCCTGACTTGATCTCACCACACTTCCTGTGTTTAGAACAGGTTATGGGACATCAATGAGCATTTTTTTGAAAAATGAATGAAGCTTTTTATTCACTAACATTCATATGGTGGGATTCAAGTGGAATTTGAATCTATTTGGGCCTCCTGTTCTGACAACTTAACAGCAGTTCCTGCTGGCTTAAACCACCATCAAAAGGCATGGCACAATCATGCATGTACAGACCCACTGTGAACATGTTAAAGACCCCAGTATGCATGCTATGCAGTCCCATCTTCAACCTCTTGTTCCAAAAAAATCCCTCTATCTCTCCTATCCTGCTGTCCTCTCTGCTGCTGCCATTTAGTCAGAATCCCCACTTACATCTCTCACTCCTCTCTCCTCGTATATTCATTTAATAACTACTGAAGATAATAAATACCCATCACTGAGCACTAAACACCAAAGATAAATACAGCCTCATCCTAAGCATACTCAAGGAATTCACAGGAGAAAAAAGTCTAGTACTACTAACAATACTTAAGAATAATATGATTAGGGGAAAGGAAAGAAGGGAAAGGAAAAAGTGGAAACTAAGTCTTCATAAATAGGGAGGGGTGGAGGGGTTGAAGGGAGGGGAATGGGGAAAAATAAGAACCAAGATATATCATGTAAAGGTACAAATTCCCAGTGATGGATGTCACCATATCGTATACCTAAAATGTACCAATAAACTCAATGAATAAAAAAAGAATAACATAGTGTGATAATCGCTATAACAGGATGAGTACTAAAAGAAAGTCACTTCCTCAAGGGTTGAAGTTGACAAGTTTAAAAGGTGTGTTGGTCACCTTTTCACTGCGGTGACAAAAATACCTGCTCAGACCACAATCTATTGTCTGCATTGTTTTAGGCCTGTGGCCACGCAGAAACATCATAGCAGAAGAGTGTGGTAGAGGAGAGTTGCTCACCTCATGGTAGCCAGGAAAAAGAAAGAGGGAGGGGAGAAGGGGAGGAGGAGAGGGAGAGGGGGGCAAGATATACCCTCCAAAGTCATGGCCCCAGTGGCCTACTTCCTCTAACTACACCCTACCTCCTAATAGTTCATTCACCTATGAACTCATTACCAGTGAGTTAACCCATTGATAACGTTAGTGTCCTCATGATCAAACAATCTCTTGGGCCCCACCTCTGAATATTGCTGCATTGGAGATCAAGCCTTCCATACATATGTCTTTGGAGGACACAGCACATTTAAACCATAACAAGAGGTGGCATTTAGGCTGAGCCTTGATAGATAGGAGAAGTTTGGAAGAGTAGAGAAGGGAAGGTAAAAAGAATGCCAAGTTCAAGGAACAACCTGAGTTGTGGGTAAAGCACAATGTACTTACTAGCCGAGGTGCAGCAACCAGAACAGCCCAGAGTGCTTGGGTGGTGGGCAGCAAGAGAGTAGGCAGGGAAATAGGCTTGGACCCATTGCCAAGGCTCTGAAGGCCCCACTCTAATCTATAGGGCCAAATAAGTACATGCTTAGGGAACCCAAAATAAAATCAGAAATGAGCACATCTAAAGAGAAGTGAGTTAAATTTTGACATATCTTTGACTTTTGTCTGATTTCAAAAAAAAATCTTTATATCAGGCTGTAGTATTTTTAAATCTGGAATTACATATCAAAAATATCACTAACATTCTTGATGGTTAGGGTCTCTAAAGGTTTTTCTCAGGCTATTGCTCTGTTGCAGAAGTTAGATACCAGCCAATCTGGGGTAGGCAGAACTGAGTTATAGCACTTTGTAAAACTGCTCTATGCATGTCTTATAACTGTACCCTTAACCCCCTTAGAGTCCTAGCAATTTACGAGGTCAGTCAGTTGTTTGCCCAAAAGACCTCTAATGGTGGCATTTCAGGAACAGTGACAAATGAAGCAAAATATGGAGGATCTCTTCCTGTAGCCCCAGAATTAAGAACTGGGACCCCTTTCTAAAATGAAGTCAGCCATCTCCCTCAGAGGCCTGTAAAAAGGTTGCAGACTAGTCCTGCTGCCACTAACCAGCGTAGGCATCCTCCTTAACTGATATCAAGTATCTTTTGGAACATAACATTCACAGCCAAAAGTTACAAATCTCTCCCCTGCTATCCACCCCATTGGGGAAGAAAGAGGGCATGTCCTCTACCATCTGACCAACAGGGAGAATGTTTTAGAAAATCATGCACCTAGCTTCGAAGTGCCTACAAAAAGGAGGAAATGAAATCTTGCTGCTAGGCTACCCGGTTCCTACAGCCCCACCCCCAGGTCCACCCCAGTGCTGCAGGATGAGACACATGTTTAACATGGATGTCAGGCATTTCGGTTCACAGAAATGAAGTTGGGAAAAGTGAAATGGAAGATAATACATACATCATGCAGGCAAAGAGAACCACACCCATGCTGGCGTCCTGCAGCAGAGAGACAGACTACACCAGAGGGGAATGAGGAGGACTACTATGTGTCACCCGCAGATGATGGAGGAACACCCTGCTAGCCCTCCCAAATGCCTCACCATGCCCTCAATTACAGAGGTGAGAGTCCCAGAGCAGGGAGGGTAAAGAGAAAGAGCAGACTGTACCCTTGGCTACCTAGCACCCAGCTCCTCCATTGTAGTTTCTCCGTGAGTATATCCTTCATGCCTAGAACATATTCTTCCTGCCTGGCCACAGCAAACAATATAATACTTGTGTTGAAAATGAATGAACAGATGCAAATGCAGATAGTGCTCATCTCCCACCCCACCCCAGATTTTCTGATTTAGAAGTCTTACTTATCGTCTGAGGAGGGCGTTCCCTTGGCACAGAGCTTTGCTTAATTAATATGGAGATGTGGTGTGGGTCTCCAGCAATGTCAGTTTCTGGGCAGGGCTGGGTCTTCCGCACACTGTAGACCCGCCTCCGGCCCTGCATTCCAGCTCAGTTTATACCTTCCTGGGTGGAAGGTATAAACTGCAGGTCTCTCCGCCGTGCTGCGTGGTTACCGAAGACTTCCAACAGCAGCATGAAGTTGGGAAGCCTCCTTCTTCTCGTGACCCTCATCACCCTCAGCCTAGGAGTGCAGGAGCTACAGGCCGCAGTGAGACCATTGCGACTGTTGGGTGAGTCTAGTTCCAATCTTCTTGGAATGAGAGAGCCAGAAAAATAGGACATCAGGAACCATTTCATACAGGAGGAGGAGGGCAAGAAAGGAGAAAAGGAAAGAAGTTTTCCTTCAGGCTCTCCTTGATGGGCACCACCGCATTCCCAGGAGCAGAATCTCTCTTCGGCCTCTACTTTCTCCTTTCCTTTCTCTGGGTCACCCCTTTATCTGAACTCTCCACGCCTCTTCCGCCCTCTCATCAGCCGTTCTCCATTCCCCAGTATCTCTTTCTCGACCCACTTCTTCCTTGGATTGCCTAGAGAAGATACTTTCTTGGCCATGTTAAACATAAATTTTCTTAATCTCTTCTCCTTTTACTATTTTTTTCTCAGAGGATATTTATTTGTTTATTTGTTTATTTATTTTGGTACTGGGGATCAAACTCAGGACCTTGCGCTTGCCAGGCAGGCAGCAGGACCACTGAGCTAAATCCCCAGCCCTTGAAGGATTGTTCTTAATTCTCTGTCCTTACTTCCCCTTAACTCACTCCTTAATCCAATTGAAGATTGGCCACAGCCTCAATTTCTGCTGCATGAGTCTCCTGAGGCGTCTCTCCCGGGTCCCGTGGACAAATGTCCTGACGTTCCTCAATTGCAAAGTCTTTAACCTCTGCAGCCTTTGATGCTATTTTCCACTCCCTCTATTCTCCAACTTTTTTCCTTGCCTATATTATCGTTCACAGCATGTTATTTTTCTCCTAAATATTGCTGGATCTAAAAATGTTTCTTGCATATATTCCATTCCACCTCCCACTGTTTCCGACCCTGATTACCCATGCTTGGACCATGGCAATAGCTTCCTAACAGCTCTCCCTGCCGCTCTGTGTATTGTGCAGTTTTCTTGCTTGTTGAATCCCATACCATTTTTGTTCTCACACCAGAACCACATCCTTCTCTTGGCCTTTTAAATAAAGTCCCAAGTTCACAGGTCCTGGAGACCTGTCTGCTCTCTGGGGCTTTGTCCCTCTCATGCTTTTCCTGTTTAACTTCCAGGTGCTTCATATTTTCCCTCCTTTTGCCTTTCCTCCCGGATTCCTCTTATTTCAGAGTAAGGAGTGAGGCAGATGAGGGGTCCTGAGTGCAAGGCTTAAGAAGTTGCTCCTTCTCAGGGTCGTACAAGTATCTCCTTAAATCATGTGCCCTTGGCATCTCACTGGCCTTCCCCTGTCCCAGCCCTGTTGCGTTTCCTCCTTGTGAACTTTTGCTAGTAATTCTTCTCTTTCCTCACAACACTCCACTTGCCCATCCCTCCCCCAGTTCTGCCTTTAAGGTTCTGTACTTCAAGATTCACCTTTTCTGATTAATCTAATTGAAACTACTATCTCTTTTGAGCTCTTTGAGTCTTCAAATCTACCTTTCCTTTAGTACTTTATAAGTCATCTCCATTGTTAGACTTGAAGCTGCACGTTTTACATCTTGTGTTTCCTGAATAACTTCTTCTATGCTTTATGCATAGTAACAAATCAATAGAGGAATACTTAATAAGTGACCAAGGTGCTGTGAGTGGAAACGACAGGTCTTCAACCTTCTCATCACAAATCAACAACAATTACCAGAAACATAGTGGAATCACACTGGTTTTCTCTGAGGTCTATAAAGTGCATTGTAGACATTCCACCAGTCCCGTTCTTATCCCTCTCGGACACTGCTAATCACCCATGACACTTCTTGTTTCTAAGCCTGAACAAGGCACCAGCCTGCTCAAGATAGCATGAGACAGCCCCCTTTGTGGATTAGTCTTGTGCTGGAGAATGATCCTCGTTTCTTCTTCAGTATTCTAGGCCCCATTGCACAGATGAGAAAATAAAGGTCCGGAGAAATCCAGAGATAGAATTAGACTGAGAAATTCCTAATAATGAGTAGCCCAACAAAGCACAGCATACATACATCCAGAGGACTGCATAGTATTTTGCTAGAAGCCCCTGGGAGGACTTAATCAGATTTTTAGACCTGCTTCATTGGTCCTCAAGAGCAATAATAAGTCTCTGCGAATTTGAGGAGCCTCCACTCAGCTCAAAAACAGCTCTTTGGAATCTGGAGGTGCACTCTTCATGTGGGACAGTGTCACCACGTGAGAGAGCAGCAGCACAAGCCTAGGCACCAAGCAGGTCTAGGATGGATCCCACTTCTGCACCTACTAGCAGGCCAGCCCCAGCTGCAAAACCTATAACATGGGACTAATTAAGACTCACTATACAGGGTGACTGCAAGCCATCCTTGATGGTGTTCAGTAAATGCAAGTCTCCTCTTCTCTGTTCCATTTCCTGTAGTGTGAGGAAGTAAAGACATTTAGAGGGGCCTCTTTGCACTGCCCACAAACACAAGCCCTCTATCCTCATATCTAAACTAGGTTTAAGTTTATTGACATTCAGTGAATACACTGTTTCTAATGGAAATACACAAGATGTTAATGACTATCATGCTGAGAGTAGTCGTCATTTGGGAATTATATTAAGTGCTTAACTAGAAGAAAAAAGGCAGAATTTACTCCTTAATCAAAAGCTGCCATCTTCTTGAACCTTAAGCACAGATGTTTTCTGCTGTTCTGTTCTTATGTAGGCACCTGCGCTGAGCTCTGCAGAGGTGACTGGGACTGTGGGCCAGGGGAGCAGTGTGTCAGCAGTGGGTGTAGCCATACCTGTGCAGCAAGTTAAGGACAGGTAAGAACATCAGGCCTTGCCTCCTTTCCCAAACCTTGTCCACCCCAGGCAGGTTGTACACTTGGCTCCCGTGGGACTTCCCAGAAATGGAGTGGGACAGAAGCCCACCTGTCTCCCTGTAGCCTTTCCCTTTTCACCCCGAGGAAAAGACATATCCAGCATGGGATGGTGGTTTCCAAACCTTTATTATTTATTTATTTATTTATTTTTAATTTTTTAGTACTGGGGATCGAACTTAGGGCCTTGTGCTTGTGAGGCAGGCGGCAGAACCACTGAGCTAAATTCCTGGCCCTGCAAACCTTTAAAATAATTTTCTGACAATATCAGGCTGTGTTTGGTTAAAATTATCTGTAATCCTCCATCCCAAATTGATGCCTACTTAGTTCTGTGGTGCATATTTTAAATACACACAAATATATAACATGCTTTTTAAAAACTGGAATCTTGTTCCTATTTGGATTTCTCAATTATCTTACTTAAAAATAGCCAGTGGACATCTTAATATCAATACTGATACCCCCTACTGACAAAAAAATAATGCACAACAAGGCGGGTCTTTGTCTGTTGACAAGATCCTCCCCATGTTTTTGCCATAAGATGTTCTGTTCAAGCAATGTAACTATGTGAGTGGGATAATGTTTCTACCTAAGGTTTCAAGAATGTCTCAGTAAGCATGCTCACCCAGTAGGTGGGCCCACTCCCTTACCCCATAGTTCTCTATACAAGGTTGCTTCCATTCCTGTTCAGGGCTCAGACTTCGGAGCACAAACTCCTCTGAGCCTGCAGGGGTCATCAAGTTTGGATCCCACCATCTCTCCGACGGATGCCCTCAGTTTCTTCATCTCTGGAGACCTTCAAATAGCTGTAACACTTGGTTGCAATGCAGAGCATTAACACTTGGCTACAACGCTGAGCTGTAGCACTTTGCTGTAACATTATCCTATCATCTGTGCGAGCCTTACAATTGACCATATATGCTCAGCAGCCTCCATTAATACATATTTAAGCCATTTGTTATTTTTATATGTTTAGCATGGCTGCAATAAATAATAAATTGGACAATGCCCCTTTATTGATTTCCTTGGGATAAATTCTAAGAAGTGTATTTGATGACCAAAGAGTATGCTCATTTTCAGCCTTAGTTGGACATTTTCATATTGATCTATGAGGACCTCCTTCCTGTAAAAACATTTTGGGAGCCTCAGATGAGAGGTTCTTTACTTTTAGTAACCGTTAATTGGAAAAAAATCTCAAGAAAGGGATACCATGATACAATTTTGACTACAAGTTAAGTTGCATTAAACACAACAAAATCAGGATATAGTTTTTAAAATAAGCCATCATACATTCAGAACATATTATTTGTCCACATATGATCTTTTGCATGCCTAAGGTCTTGTGTGATACCTGCAGATATTTTGGAGCTTCAGAATTGAAAACTATTGCCTTTCAATTACATTCTGTTCAGTCAGGCTCAAAATTCAGCAGGTCTCATGTATAATGTATATGTCCATTTATCAGATAAAGACTTATGTGTTATGTTCTCTAATAGCTGTTTATCTCTTTCTGAAGCTTCTACTGGCAAATATATGACTACAGTCTTCAGAAGTTCTTGCCCAGAAAGACAGATGGAAGAGGGAGACATGGATGGAGACTACAGCAAACATGAAGGAAAGGGAAGAGGAGGTGTTTCTTTTAATAAATCATGATTGTAAAAGTAGCCACACTTTATTTCATTAGAGGTGATGGTGAGAAAGGCAAAGAGGACACACGACACTTGCTGGGCACTTTCTGTCCAATGAGAACTATGTCAGATTCTCTGTAAGCATTATCTAAGTTATTCTACCCTCCTCCTTGGGTACTGGGGATTGAACCCAAGCCCTTTACACTAAGCTCACCCCGGCTCTATCTTTTTTTTTTTTTTTT